CATCACCACGGCATGTCTAGCTTGTACAGACAATGAGAGGAATTCGTCTGATTCAGAAATTCACTTGCTAACTCGGCTGTGGAGGACAGCGGAACGGCAGCAATTCGCCGATTAAAATTAGACCACCTGGACGTTCCACAAAATTCGAGTTTGTGAATGTCCCTACAAGTGCATAACGAACATCGGGAGCGAAATATAGCGAAAAATGATGCGGAAGGTAAGAGAAGTGAGTTGTGGAACGCTGTAGGTGAGTCAAAAGCGCCATCCATGGGGTGGATTTGTGGCGGTGTGACCCCATTTCATTTCGAACGACCTTGCAGGCATCCCATTCGCACAGAACGACGGAGACGATCACTACCTGTCGGTCGCCCTCACCGTCATTTCGCTGCACTATTAATCGTTATTACAATTCTATTACTACTACAACAAACTCCTCTAACCACAGTAACAAAACTGCTTATTCAACTTTATTCAGGAATGCTCTAATGGCGCTGTTTCTACTGCTTTAGTCCTTCTTCATTACTACTATGTTGCTACTGTGAATGCTTTTATTGTCCGTAATACAGTTTTTATTGGATCAATAAAATTGACGATTCGTTCCGGTATAGCTACGTGGGTTGTCATGTGTTCTGTCCGCATGTCCCTCATCGTAGAATGCTGGAACTTCGCAAACCACACCCTATTATTGCCCCGTGTTCATCGATTATTCCTTTGCCGAAAGTTACGGTAGCAGTTAGTCTATGACTCTGTAAAAATCATAGAGGTATTATGGTGCAACTCCCTCAGTGGTTTACATTGTAGTCCAAAAACCTGTGTAAGATACAGCTAGCAGGAGCTTTGCTATAGGGTTGGCAAAAAGACCAGCGTTCTGAACAAATTGTTCGAGAAAAAAAACAGAACACGTTTAAAATGTTCTAACCACCTATTGGTGAAAATTGTTCCCCTGAGAATTTCGCAGGTTAGAGCTTTGTGGGACTTTTCAGAGCTTGAAAGACCTACAAGGGTTGAGAAACTCGTCGATATATTCTGATGCCAACGGGATATGGAGACGGCACCCGGGTGTCACTATCCCCAGCCTCGTTCCCGTGCACTTTCGTCCGGAGAAAACGGCACGGTTTCGCAGCTATGAACCCATTTTCCCTTACATTGCAAAGTCCAGAATTCATAAGGTGAATGTACAGATTGCCTTTAAATAGTGGCAGTTTTTAAGAAATGCTCAATCTTTGCGTGAACTCTTTTTAAAGAGATCATTCTATGAGGTCATGCTCATAGTTTAATGTACACAATAAACGCTATTATTTGGAATTTTTTAGACATTGCAAGATGAAGTGTTAGATCGAGGGATGGTTGCGCCTTCTGCGAGTTCTTCTCTACGAGTACAAACGTCACAACCTTCGTACTTATCTCGCGTATCGGATTACTACCTTCTGAGCCCTTAACACTACCTTACTACCTTTACTACCTCGCTACCTTCATATGAACTGACAGAAACTCGCGATAATAAGCCTGTTTTTCGAACCTTGTGTTGAAGAATCCAATTCCCGTGGAGGACTACAGGTTTCTCCCAAAATGTCTCAAATTTATAAACAACCAGGGTGAATACTTCGGAACACCAACTCGTCCCTTCGCATCAATGTTCACTATACAGTTCATGTCGTCGCAATCTGGCCGTTATGCTTCAACTGGCAGGTGAAGAAGATTCAATCTGGAAATGTAGCTTGAATAGTCTCAATCAGTCGGGCGATGCCAGGAGGGGCGAAATGAATCCGCATCCGACTGCCCTTTCTACCAATAGCGATCGGTTAGTGGCACGGCACATCATTGGTTGGGGAATTTGGTCGACAACGTATGATCCCCTCTAGCGAGTGACTCGCTGCGACCCCCCTGGTTCCCTCCTCATCGAGCTGTCGAGGGGGGGGGGGGAGATAGCGCGTGTGAAACGGGAAAACCGCGCCCACAATACGACCCTTTCTTTGTCTTTTCTTAGGTTGTCCCCAACTCCCTACCACATCCGGAATTTCCCGAAAATTTTCCTACTTTTACTCCAAAAATTTTGCTGTCGAGGAGGGTATATAGTACACATGAAACAGGAAAAACTACGAAAAGTCAGCAACCTCTCTCAGAGGGTCAGAAGGGAAATACAACCTCCCTTCTAACAACGAGCAAACACGACCCCCACCCGCTTTACAACGTTCCCAAAAAAGAAAACCCAAGAACCAATAAAATTCTTCAAAATTCGACTTTCCCAGCGACTAAATACGGCCCTCACCTCTACCTGTTGGTAAATCCCAAACAACGATGTGCCTTGATCAGTGATCGAATAAGGAAAAGAACAGCCAGTGGTGAAATCCCGCCGGTGGGTTCGTTCTATGCCTTCTGACACCGTCCCGACCAAATACGACGATTTCAACCCTACCACCCACAGAAAATCGTATTTATATTACCCGGAATGAAATGCCTCACGCACTCGTTGTTTCATTCGTACCGAGCCCCGGCACTATTTAGCACCACTACACCAAAAACTAAGAAAAATTCTTTTTGCGAAACTTTGCCGATAAGGGTAATTCGATGTCGCTGTCCAAAATCGGTGTGAACTTGCATACTGGGATCACTCGGTACCCTGATCACGAACATGACATTCATTTTCAGCCCTAACACTAACTGGAGCTATTGGGCTCCAATTTGGCACCGCACCCTTTTTCATCAAAATCGATAAAGAACTTGCATAATAGGGTTGTCTGATGCCCTGATCACGAATATGGCATTATTTCTCGACACCAGCGTCATTTAGCGCTCTGCTAAGGCTGAGCCTCTGAGGAGGAGTAACCTGCACTTCAGGCTCACCCTTAGCAGACCTCCATTAGCGCTAGTGAAAAGAACGAATGTCAAATCCGTAATCACTGCGTCAAATAATCCCCGTATACAAGTTGTCATCGAATTTGTGATCAAGGGTGTCTTGGCACCAGAGCCTGTAGCGCGGACGCCAGGCACTTTCGGGGCGAGCGGATGTGATACCCGTATTCAGAAAATCAAACTACTCCTATGGACGAGTTGTCAGCGAATTCTACAATTTACTGTTTTCGCGGGCGCCAGGCATCTCCAAGCCAAGCGGATGTGATATTCTTGTTCAGAAGCTCGAACAACCTTTGGAGCCTTGTTTTCAGCCAATCTTCCCTTAAAAAAATAGGGCCGAAAATGTGTTTGCAATATTGTGATAGTAATAGTTGAATAGTGCTGAGCCTACAACCTTTAGTGGAGGGGGGGGGTCGCACGGACTCAACCAACATCCTCGACTACACCATGTTCGAAATGAAGTGCGCAGGCACACCTACCGCGTCTCACGGATATGAAGCCTGGAACTGGTTGTTGATTCTTTCGGTGCTAACGTATTTGGGGGGACCACGCGGCTCGCGGCGAGTGATGACTCATCGGCTCTTCACTAATAGGCATACTTGAAGCGCCATTCAGCGGCCAAATGGAAATAAAACAAACAAGATACACCGGGAATTTGCTAAGAAACCCCACAGAAGCTGAAAACAAGTGTTTGATTTGTCGTAGTCAACAATAACAGTAAACAACAAGCAGGCAGCAATCTTTTGCAGTAGAACCTTCCAGCCTACAATTTTTTCCTCACACTTTTCAGCGTTGACTATTTTAACAATTGAATATAGCTAAGATGGTGTTATAGGCGCCATTCTTTCGTACAGATGCGGCTGTGTGCCATTGCGTACACTGCGGGGCTACAGTAACCTTACGCCCAGTTTTATTCAATGACGAGGAGAGACTTCGTGGAAGATGCGTCTATATTTGAGCGGAGGGGATACAGATTTTTAGATAACTTCCCCTTCGTCGCCATTCCCGAACAGGTCAAAGCACAAAGGGCCACGATAGCGGACTCTATGTGTTATTCTATTAATATATGTGAAAAGATAGCGGTTATGTGATAATACGTGTACATACTGCGATTGCGCCATAGTCCATGATTTGATTGCAGCTGCTTATTTTTGTGGAGCAGACTGGAATAAGAGAGCTCTTCATGATACAGCAAATGACATAACCTCGACAAAAATTTTCGAGTTACGAAAGTCAGGGGCGCAAACAATGAGAAGCCCTGCAAGTCTGCCGAGGGGACTGGTCACCATCACACGGAAACGGTGTATCTCTTCTTGGGAACGGTAAACATGTCCTGTAAAGTTACTGTGGTTTTTTACTACCGTTCTGCTCGACTCACTTCCTGGACCAGCGATTTGACGAGTGCCAGATTTATGATTTCGGCGAGAGGCGAAAGCGTGCGGCTGGATAAATCGGAGTTTGCCACGCTCCCCAAACAATATGGAGCGTGGAGAAACAGTGGGAGCATCCTTGGGTTGGGAGTACTGAATGTCACTCACTCTATGGTTTACTACATTTTATGTAACTTTTTTCAAGGGGGACCTCTGGAGGGACAACTGTTATGCTTGGAAGAATTAGTTTACTAAGATTGTACTTGCTTCCCTTATTTTTTTACTTCGTAATGCGTTTGATCCCCTTCATGCTTATGTGAATTACGCGAATGTGGAGAAACCATGGGAGTACTTTATGCGTATGTAAATTAGAGGTGGAAGAGTCTAGGACTGAAAGATACTCATAGATGTCACACTTTAATCATAATCACCAAAACTCAATAAGGTGCCACGTCCCCAACGAATAATGGAACCAGGTGCGAGGTTACTGTAGCTCCGCAAAGTTCGCAACGGCACACAGCCGCATCTGTACGAAAGAATGGCGCCTGGTGTTATATCCTCGTCCTAAATATAAAATTACTTCTATTTTGCCGAGGAGGAAGCAGAAGAGTCGATGAGTCATCACTCGCCGCGAGCCGCGTGGTCCCCCCCAAATACGTTAGCACCATTCTTTCTTCCAGCCCAGGATTACGAATAAAGACGACAACCGCTCGCCGACAAGGAGAATAGCAGTGTGGACGAGTTGTCCCGTCAGCCGGCAAATGCAGTGGCGCGAACATGAAATGTTTGAAAGATCACCGTTGTCGCATATTTGTGTGTGGTAAAATTCACACCGTTTTCCAGTTCTTTGATCAAGTACGTTTCAGAATGGTGGGTTTTGAGCGGACAAAGCAAGCAGCAGATCTTTTTGCAAAATTAATTTGCTGTGCGAATCCTCAGTGGTGAGTGTAAGTTGGGGGCTTCTCCTATTATTTATATTTCTTGCGCTCAAACGTTATTGTATTGCAGCTCACGGGAAACCGATAATCTTCAGACATTAGGGACTGCATGCAAACATGCGTTTTGCTGGTAAGATTTATTCTTTCTGTTTCACGTTATTTTGAATTCTCTCAGTTTTTCATATTCACTGTTGAGATTGGGTTAATTTTTTTGCTCAGAAACTGATGTAGTCTAATTATCCTGCTGTAAACAAGGCTACCCTTCGTTTGGATTCCCTTCTTCTCCCTTTTCCTCACCTGTCTGCATCTTGTTTCATTTTCGTTCTACGTGGGAACTCTCTCAAAGTTCAGTCACTTCTTCTAATATTTGGTTCGATGGGTATTCTACACCTTTTACAGCTTCACCCTGTGGCTAAACCCATAACATGACCAAATCCTTCACTCTTGTTTCCAAGAGCATTTCACGAGGTTTGCCTTGACCTTTTGAGTTAATGTCCGGAGGCGAATCCCTCACCACTAGCTTGCACTGTTGCCCCGGGACTCCTCGTTCAGGCCATCCCACCTACTCCCATTGTTTACACCACTTCTTGCCTTATTTGATCGCAGTGGTAATAAACAAGTGAGTAAAATGGGCGAGATCAAAGTCGATCCCGGACATCCACGAACACGATTTTTGCTGTCTTGACCTCCCATGTGAGAGAATTCCTTGCATTTTTCCTTTCTTTCCCAAATTTTTTCTTCGTCAGGTATAGTGAAGATTTCTTTTTCAAACGCTCCTTCTACCTGCTCATAACTTTCTTCTTGAATCATACTTCTACTAGCCGTCTTTCACTTTTAAGAAGAGGCAGCTGTTGTGGATTGGCATTTAAGAACTAGTTTTTCAGTGTTAAAAGCGGCTTCATTCCAGGGACTGTATCAACTCGTACTCACGCGTAGATACATTCACTCTTTGTCCCCGATGTGCCTGTCCATTGGACATCCTTCATCCGAGATCAGCACAACTTTTCAATAGTCTTGCGCAACACATCAATGAGTTCAAGCTGTTACTGGGTGAAGTATGTTTTCACCTTTTTGTGCTGTTAAATTCGTCTAATTTTTTTCTTTAGATAATCTACTAATTAACATCAGTAGTTCTGACTGTTCTGCGTAACGAATAGTCGAACATGGATTTTTTATCTCTGCATTTTTTTCTATTTTCTTTGAATTCAGCCTTTTTTCCTTTCTGAGTGCCAGTGGATTTTCAGTATGAGCAAGCTGTACGGAGCGGTGGTGCCACTGCAGCTGCCACGATTGCACAAACCCAGAAGCTTTTCGAAGTTCATGCAGGAATCGATGACGATGCGGTGAATGCTAGAAATGAGTTCGTCCTTCGTTATTTGACTATTTCGTCGTCTATCATTGTGAACTGGATTGCATTTAGAGCTATAAATGACTTTATCAGCACTCAAAGAGTATCGCCGTCCGTGCCAGGAGAAGAAGGGAAAGACCTGTGAGTAGTATGAATATCGCAAAAGTTTCTCAAATGTTTTCTGCCTGTTTTAGATCTCGAGATAGTAGTTACTCCGAAGAACTAAATGACACGCCGCCTCCAAAGCTTACGCCTGATGGTAATAAAGGTGCAGGGGCCAAGCCAACTGTTGAATTTGCTGATTGTTTCGACGACTTTTCTGATGAAGAAGTCACGGCAACAACTTCGTATGTCGCTATTGCTTTAATCAACCCCCTCCCTATCACGGTTGCTGTAGTTCTGGTCTACTCTAAAATTCCTCTTTTGTGAAATGTGCAACGTTTTCTCTGTTTATTTGTCTGTCCGAAAGCTCAGTTTGACGTAAAGGGTCAGCTGGACGAGTGTGGTAGGAAACAAAAACATATCGCGACGTTCTTCTGGCGAAACAAATGCTGGGGGGGGAAGAGGGAGGATGATCCAGACGATTGATTTAGAAAGACTGACGATACACATCAAGTTGGTGCTCACAATTTTTCCCAGTAGGGCCAACATTTCCTCCGAATCGGGAGTAGGAATATGACATGGTTGAAACTTGGTCTAAATGTGAAGAATACCGTTTTGGATTTACGAAGTATTAGCTTGTAGAAATCCATAATGGCTAGAAAAGCCTGTACAGTCGTGTTGGGGCTCAGCTCTATTATCAAAAATTCAGTTTTTGAACATCTGCATTACAGAATTTCCCGCTTTCGAGAGAGCTCCTTTTTAAAGATACAGCCTTGAGAGGTCAATTAAAGAGTATTCTAGACCTTTTCCATAGCTAACTGCAGGTAGAGTAATGGTGCGAACGCTCTTACTTTACTCAAATTTATAAGTTCAGGAAGAACGATGTTATCACGGACAGCATACCGACATTGGGTCCACCTGTGATGACTTCTACACAAAAACCGACCTTATTTCTTTCTCAAGCTGTACATGCGCGTAGTGACTTGTTCCAGCAGGAATCTACCCAGGTATTTTATGAGGAATCAACAGTTAGGTTTTATAAATCATAAGTTTACCCGGAGTGAACATCTAGTTTCCATTAAAAAAGGTGTAACGAGCTTGCTGGTGCAGTGGGTCCTCTGCGCACTGCAATCCGCACTGCAGTCTGTGATTGTCTGCTGATCAATCGTCGTCTAAGCCAATCCAAAAATCCTCATATCTATTGAAATTATGCTGCCATTGTTTGGCCTCACACACAATTCCTATATTTTCGAATAGAACCATTGGTAACTTAGCTTGTGAAACCAACATCGTGTACTCTTTTGATTTACGTCTTTGACCACTGCCATGTCATGTACGGCTGGATGGTTGACGATATAGCGATGCCAACGACGTAGATGACTGAAAGATTCCCATTTTCTGGGTTGCTGTGCCGCTCTGTGGAACATCTTAGAAAGCGGTGCGGTCTCATTCACTCAGACCACGTCGTACGTTGGGGAATCCCCAATGAGGGGTGGCGTATTGGGTCGCTGGGGAGAGGGAGAAGGGTCATGCTTGCCGTCGAGAGAAATTCGCCACTTTGGTGGAACTTTTTCCCGGTCGTGGACTTTTCGCGGTATTTCCCGTTTTCATGTGCTATATGCCGCCATCACCCTGCCCAACAACCAAAATTCCGGGAAAAGCTCAAAAATTCTATGGGAGTTTTCGGAAAAATTTGGGAGACTGGGTAGGAGGGGGAGGGGTTCGTAATATAGGGGATGAAATTTGGGGGGTCGTATTTTCCGGAATTTTCCGCAGCAGCAGGGCGTGCCATGTATTCACTATTACCAGTAGCTATCCCGAACTTCTCAGATGACTACAACTGAAATCCTTATGGTTTTTTCAGGAGGTGAAAACGTATCACTGTGATAAAGGGTACAACTACTTCCACGCAAAACCTAAGAAAACATTCGATGCTCGAACAAGCAAATCGGTGAGTTAGAAGAATTCTCTCTCAAACTCTCTCAAACTGTTCTTAAATTGTATCTTCTTTTCCTTTGCCAGACCACATTTTTCACCAAATCATTATTGTTGGGCCTTGCGTCTCGATTACGTTCGTTCTCCTCAAGGGGGGGGGGGGTGCTACTACTGCTGTTGTGCTTGTACTAAAAGTAAGAAAAATAGCACCAGATGCGAGCTAGAGCCTTCTTCGCCCTGTTGCAGGCAAGGGGATCTTTGGTATCTGAAGAGGATTATTCAAAACGTGCCAGGCAAAGAAGGTTGGAATTGATGAATCGTTTGCTTCAGTGAAGCAACGTGTGATCTATCTCAAATGTCGAGATTTCGAATCATTTGCTCAGAATCTATTTCTGAACTGTTTACTGTTCAGGTCAACGCGCCATGGTTGGAACTCCCTCCGAAAAAACATGGTCACTATAAAGAAACTTCGGGTTTAGAACATGCGAACGATACTTCTGCAATGACTTCGTCACGTGAGGAAGAGCAAAAGAATACCAGAAGCGGTCGAAAGCTGGAAGTCCGTTGTAATCCGCTCCTTCATTGACAGTTTGTGTAGATTCTACATATTTCCCGTTGTTTTTCTAGTCACTCAAATATAGGATCGTCCGCGCTCTCGTAGCCGTAGATCGTCCTTTTCCACTCCGAGGGCGCATTCTCGATCATCTGAAAATCCAGTTATTACTGCTGTTCTAGACGGGAACATAGACGAAGTTCGCAAAGCAATTGATGTGAGATTTCGCGATTCCTTATCCGTAGTGCGATTGTCGTTCACTAATATACGGTTGCGCTCATACATTGCGTCAGCGTTTCTGAGCGTTATGGCAAAGTTCTGAGCGTTTCGAGCGTAAGCCAGCGTTTTGATCGCTCCAAGCGACTAGGAAAGTGAAGGTGCCCTTTGCGTACAACTTTTCATCGACTGCCCGCGAAGATTCAAGCTATCCTCAAAAACGCTCAGAACGCTAGGGCAAGGTATGAACGCAGCCTAACTTTTGAATGACCTTAGTGATATGTCACGTTGTTGATTCAGGCCGGTTATGATGTCAATCAACGTGACGAACTGAAACGAACGCCCCTTTTCATCGCTGTAGAAGCGAAACGTTTGGATATTTGCCAAATGCTCATCGAGCGTGGAGGAGCAGTGATCAATGCCAATTGTATGATAAATTTATGAGGTCGCCGGGTCACCGCACAGTCGTTCCCTTTTCAGGCGGATCCGAATGCAACACAGCACTGCATGTCGCCGTATCGCAGGAGAACGAAGAAATCGTGAGATATCTCCTATCAAAGGGAGCTAGCAAAACGGTAGGATTGAGTTACTGTAAACCTATTTCCTAGCAGAAATTCTACGATTGCTAATGGGATCGTTATCCCGTTTGTCTGGGAAGCCTGAGATTGTATCCTTCCTATGCATTTCATTTCTCCGTGATAGGGCTTTTTTGGAAGTTTAAGAATAATGACTTGTGCACGATCTGGCTTTCGCAGCTCAACTTTTTTTCAAATCGCAGTTAGATATTGCTCAGTTCTGTGAGGAGGTGGTATGCGCGACGCATCCCAACGAAAGGCTGATGAGCCCCGAAGACTTTGTAACCTCTCCACCCTACTGCTGCTCTGGCTAGATAGATGGGCTATATGATGGTCGTTTACTTACAGATCCGTAATATCAGACAGGAAACGCCGTCACAATTGGCTCAGCCTCGTTCACCTCTGCGTTCCTTAGTTGAGAAATACCGTTCTCATCCGAGACAGCCTTGTAAGTGCCAATAATATTCAGTAGTACCGGTATTCACTGAAAAAAAATTTGCAGATGTGGCTCGTTTGCCGGATGTATACATTGTGTGTTATTCTAAAGAGATCAGAAAGTCATTAACATATGGTGAACAAGCAACTCTCAACAAACTGATCACGGTATGACTTTATTACCAGCTTTCATGATTATATTTTCTCCTCAATGTTTTGGCATCAAAGAGAGGTTGAACACAGCGGAAAGAATCCCCTCTTAGCTGGTGCTCAACTGTTTCACATCAAAATCCGTCTTTTTGCTTCTCCTTTCGAGTTCGTTCTTGTAACTTTCCCTGTTCTCTTATTTTATTTTCTTGGGTGGTTTTTCGACTGAAACCCCGTCTACTGCAATTACGTATGCTTCCCGTCCGCTTACCTATTTCCTCTCGTTAACGCTTTTCCCGTTCTCCGGGCTTACTTGGAACTGAAGTACGGAATTTTGATTTAAGCCCCATTCACAGCAGATGTGCCTTCATCATCTCGTCCGCCTACTGATTGCTTTTAGTTTCACACATTTTGCCCTCTCCGGCTTTTTTATAACGGAATTACGAATGTTCGAAATAAAAGGCTCCTGGCTAGGGCACGCTCCGCCCATTGTGGGCGGGGCTTGGCTCAGTTCTTGCGCATTCCGTACGCCTTGGCCCATGCCCTACCCATCCCACCAATGACCCCCTCAAGCTGCTTCATCAGGTGATGTCGAATATCCGGGCAGACAGACAGACAGACAGACAGACATTGCCGTTTATGCATAGTAGGATTCTTAAGTGCTGCTATCTATGCACTGCATATCCTTCTGTTTCCAGGTGGTTGAGTTCTGCGATGAAGAAACAACTCACTACGTTGTATCTGCTGACGCCAATGGGGTTGCAAGTGTCGACGCTGATCTTCTGAGAGCAATGATGCAGTAAGTTTGACTTTCATTTCTTGGCCTTGAGGTTGTGATCTTGGTAACTTTGTTGTACTGGACTGAGCCTAGTGACGTCCACCCACGCTCTCAGCCGCACAACTTCACTTATTATTCAGCTCCACAAGCCTTATATGATCCTTTTCAGGAATACTCGTATTATGGGTGTAGACTGGCTGAAGGAGTGCATTCGTGTTGGCAAAACTGTACCACATTTGCAGTACGTCGAAGATTTGAACCCAGGAATTATGACTAACAAATGGTTTAAATATGTAGAACGGAAGATAGATTCAGGCCTACATCCGTTTTGTCGAACAAGATCCTTCAGTAGTTTTTCATTTTCCAGTTATGAAGTTTCAAAACTACGATACATGGAGAACAATGTCGTCTCAGACTCGCTGAGTCGATGCAGAAAAAGTAAGGAGAAAATGGTGCGTTGGCTCGTTTGACAAGTTTGTCTTATTTTAACAGTCGCTGGTCTTCAAATTCTGTTCGTTTCTGTCGGAAACCAAACTTTCGCGTTGAGCGCTGAAGTCTTTGGCGTATTTCTGCTAATTTGCGGTCTGCATTCATCTAAAAATATCATTCCTTTCTCTTGATAATGTTGAAAACCATACTTACGTTGATTGATTGTTTTGAGGAAGGATGTGGGCACTCATTCGGGTTCTCATCGCTCGAGAACTATCCCCCCCCATATCCTCTTCGTTGCCACAGAGCTTCCAAGGCATACATCCAGTTAGCATCTGTAGCTTTCTAGGCTTTTTGAGACCAGGAACGACCGTGGATAGGTCGGATTTGGGGTCAGTTAGCTTCGAGTTGTAAGCCTTCCCCATCATTTCAGGGCAACAAGAACTGTTTATCGGCTAGAATCGTGTGGGCGCTCTTTCGAAGACAGTTTTCCGGGCTCGCGTCTTCCCGCCTTGAAGCAAAGCTTAACTCGTGGCACTTGTGTGTTCATTTGATAAGATATTCTTCCTTGGAAACTACTATCTTCCACGCTGAGGCGGAGATCGTTTAGTAGCAAGTGGCATGTTTACAATGCGCGCAATCCGGGCACAATTTCCAAATGGGCTCTCGCATAGGCTTACCGAGCCCTACCAGATTCCTCTGTTGGTATAAAAACACTTTTGCACATCGAAAGGCCTTAGCAAGTCATTGTTTCGGCTACATCGCCTTCAGTAAGCCACTACGATTCTGAATGGAAGTAGAATGCGTGCCGCATCCCAAAAAGGGTTCAATCAACGGCGATGACTCTGTCCTTCACCCTTTATTTTCTGTCCTTTATTGAAGCTCCATTACTGTTCTCGGTGTCACCAGAAGGTGGCCATGTGTCTTTGTCAGCTCAGAAAGCCCTACAGTATTTGCGTCAACTTGAAGCATCTGCATGAATTCCAGGGGAGGGTCCTGGAGACTGTCACTAAACACCAGGTGTGCAGCTTCACGGACATCTTCCCCACATTTCTCGACCATATAAGTCAAGTTGATCATCGAACACATTGGTAATGCCACTCTTGTCGTTTGGAAGGATTCTTAAATATTAGGAAACAGAGCAGTGCCCGATGCAAATGTTTAGAGCCTCCGTCCACTTCAGGCTAGCGAAAATTGGAGTATATCGCAGTGGAAACATTATATGACAGAACTTTTCATATTAGCAGAAATCGCCCCAAAAACGTTATAATTGTGCACCAACCCGGTATGTGTTAATTATAGGAACCGAGCTTGTTCCATGGATGCGTGTTTTACCTCCTATCCAAGAGATACAAAGGCATTGGTAAGTGCAGTTTCTGCCCAATTCACGACTAAATTTCAGGATTCTATGGTGTAAGGGTTCCTTCTAGACTTATGGCTACTAGTAATCATGTGACTTAATACTTCTTACTGGTTCCATGGGCTGTTACCCATCTCTTTTGGGCGCATGTGCACTGTTGAACCTACCGAAAAACCTAACAATTCCTGATCTGATTGCCACCACACCTCTTGAAATCTCGGAAATTAAGAGAAGTAAGATCATTGTTCGGAAATTCGTCTTCGTGGATCCTGATCCTTGTGGAAAAGGGTGGACCAGGGTACAGTAGCGTGCCACTTTCTTTGCTCAAATCTGCACGGAACGAGGCTGAATTGTAGTGAGACCTGGGTACTGTCTCCATACTCAGCTCGCGCCCTGCACGATCAGCAACACTGCCGATCCTGGTCAAACGCGCTACTTGTCCGCACCCTCTCACTTCTGGTTGAACTCTACCCTGAGTGCGTGTTTTGCTGCTGGACCTTTATATCGACGTGAGTGCTGCACACTGATAACACGAGCGGGATCTAGAGAGGCACCGTGGGGCAATAACCTTGCAGGTCATTTTCCGAGCGGAGAAGGAGCTGTGGGCCCATTCACTTCCTACTTAGGCACGTTCCTAGGGAGGATGTGCAGTTAGTCCTTAAGCAGCGGAATAAGTGTTGATTTTCCCTGTTACCATGTCAAATTTAATGTGGTGGGGTTAAAATTATCTAAGTATCCCAGTATTTCTTCTCCCACGTCCTCCAGATATTGCTTTTCTCGACTACTCACTGTTAGAAGCTTAGGTGATCATAATCGCTAGGAAAGGCTTGGAACATAACAGTAACACATTTTGTTCAAAGCGTAGTTTTCCAAAGTGTGTGTTCTTCCAGGACTTTTTGACTTCTGGTAGGCGCGATTAGCTGCTCTACCTTTTCACCTTAGTTAAGCCTATTATTTATGATGAACTCACGACGAACAGAATATAGAATATTTTTGTATTTGTTTTCAGATGACCGCCGTTTGCTACCTGACCTAGTGCGGCTCGGTGGTGGGGATATCGCCGTGTACGAACCACAGTTTAAGTCCACCATGCTGCCGCCTTTCCATGCACCTCATCTCTCGTCACCAATTTTTATTGTTTACGATGTCACAAGCACCGGCAATGTAAGTCCTCTATCGTAACCTTGAAACAGCAAATTTAGGAGAACGCCTTTCAGATCCCTAGTAAATTCCATCGATCTCCGAAGGAGTATAATATGGTATCGGCGCAGTGGGTCATCGAATGTGTCATGGAATACACGATCAAACCAGTTGCTTAGAGAAATTCGGAAATCCAAACTGAAGAAGTTTTTTTATGATGCCTTTTTTCTCTCGACCCCTGCTTCGTATTGTAATGATGAACTTGATCTCATTCATTCCTGTTCCTTAATCTCTGTAACGATCTTGGATCGAATTTGAAAAAAAATATGAAATAATGTGTAATTTCTCGATTAGTTGCTTTGTTGTGGAGGATAGATATATCTATGTTTGTAAGCTTTTCACTTACGTTCTTTTGTCTTGATAAATAAATTTTCGGAAAAATTTGGTTTCCCTTCCTCGAGAAAGAGTCGAAGTCGCTGGAAGTGCGAATACTGTGACGTTTATTGCCTAGCTATGCCGTCGAATGAGAACAATATAAGCCAAATTTCTTCTCCAGGGTCGGTATGTGTCAAACGAATCGTAATTCGCCGCGCTGTGGGCGTCGCGTGCGACGTCGCGCCCGCAAATGACGATGGTTCCAGGTAGTAGATGGCGACAACAGGCAATTCAGAACCGAAAATAGTCATGAATGTCTACGATGACGGGGTCTACATGAAGTCCGGTGCTCCAATCGACAGGTTAACACGAGTTAAGAAAACGCTGCGCCTATCCTGCGGCAGGAGCGGCAAATTACGATTCTCTTGCCCGTCTCCCCTCCGGGGTAGTGCTCACATTTACTGTGCTTTGACTGCTGCTCACCTCAAACATAGTTGGAGGGTCTTGTGAGTGTGTGAATACACCCCAACACTTTGGAAATTTGTTTAACGATTAGAACCATTCTAGGGAGTCTTGCAGTCCGACTTTGACCTCTAGACGGCTCACTTCTCCTCATGTTAAAGCCACGGAGGCGATCGCAAGATAACGGGTACGACTGTCATTATAAAAAGCACGTTCTAACACACCTGTTCAGAGATCAACAGAGAAAACCATTGAAAACGTCTCAAGACTCTTTCGCACTTCTGACCCTGTGAAAATTTGTGTCGCCTCAGTGTGGGGGTCGCAGTTTAGGCTTTCAAAAGAACAAGGCTAAAATGCACTGTAGTAAGACTAAAACTGGCCGTGAAGTGTATTTACTAACACAAAAGCTGAGCAACACCTGGTCACGATACGAACTCCATAACTAGGAGCTCAAACCTCACGTAGTACTAGGGTTGGAACCTCCCTTTTCCTTCATTCTTACTTCTTTTCTAACTTGTTTTCTTGGCGAGATTGGTATAGCTTACTATATTAGTACTGTGAACAAGAGTCTTACCAGAAGCGATGCAAACTTCCAAGTGATCTTACTTGCAACGTGCTATTAACACGAACTGTAACTCAATGTTTTGTTTCTCAGGTTTGGGGAGTGAGACAGAGCGTAGAGGGTATTGCAAGTATAGCTTATTAGCCTTGTTGTGCGAACAACAGGTACAACTTTGTATCTACAGGCCTTCCTTTCTGTGATACAGTAACTCAGACGACGAAAATGCCTTTCTGCTCAGGGCTTTCCGATTTCAGAACACTGAGCTGTTTCTGTTAGACACTCACTTAAAGGCACCTCACGTGATTAAGTGATCAGCGAAATGCTCCCTGCATTTGGTATCGTTGTCCGCACTCTCAGAGAACATATCTCTTTCGTCACTCGAAATGGCGAGATAACGGAGCTAGAGACGCGCGAGTATTGCAAAACTCTGCAAGACAACGACTTATAAGCGGAATTGTGTGTGTACATAGCATTACCTGGAGCGTCATAGGGCGATTTCCTATGCTCTTGCCGGGAATTGGTTGCACCTAGAATCCTGCTGATTGGGCTTGTCCTCATGATGAACTCGTCCAAGGCGCCGGCCCCACTGCTAGGAGGGGCTGTGCTCAAGGGTGTTCTCAAACTTTTTTTCGCCTTTTTTTCCTACCGGTGAGTTTTTGATGGGCTATGGTTAATAACTGAGCACCTGTTACCTGTTACACTTGGTCGCTGAAATTGTCTTTAAGCTTCACTTTGTGTATGTCTTTACCTCAGCTCCTTTTTACTTCCAGTTCTCCTAACACTATATTTTTCCAGTCGCTCACTTGTGACACCAGTGCATTGGATCATCAGCACACAGGCCATGGCGATGAAAAATTTCACCACCCCCCCCCCTCCCCCTTTCCCGCTCGCTCCCTCCCTTGCTATTAGAACATTAGCCTCGCAAGCACTCAGGTGGAGCACTCATAGGCGCTATTATGACATCACTTTATTTGTATTCACAGAGTAGATGAATGTTTTCCTATAACCTCTGGTGATTTATTCAGAGCTGTAGTGCTAGCTTTAACTGATGACGATTATTCATACTTATATTTGTCTCTATATAGATGACTCGACCTTCCCGAACAGAGTCTCATACTTCGACCGCTAGAGAAAGTCGTTTTCGAGAACTACTTGAAGGGATGTCGTGGACGTTGATACTAATAATAGTATTTTTCCCGTAGCGAAAGGACGTGAGGGGAAGTTCACTGTGCGTTAATCAAGCTGGGAAAGTCATGACACACGTTATCCTTACTATACTCTTTAACTGATAATTCAGTAGATCAGTTGTTTGGGAGAATGAAGGTGACGTGAGACCGGCTAACTCTTGCTCCATAAGAGAAATTTTCGTCGAACTGTAGACTCATCCATGATTGCCTATAGGTCGTATCGCTATAACTACTCAAAATGGTTCGAAATCGAAGTGATAGTTGATTAAAGTGATTAACTTTGCCGAGGTTATCTAATGTCGTATTCAGATTTGTCTTCGGAACCGCTGGCCACAAGTGCTTCTTGATTTCTTAGGCTCTGGTGGAGCGCCGAAAAGCAACCTGAATAAAAGTATACAAATGTCGGAAGGGCTTGAACCAATCAAATTTTTCCAGCTGAGCTGTTCCTTGAAAATGCGTGTGTGTGGTGGGGGGGGGACGGGAAGCAAGGCGCACTCCAAGAGACAAAATCGATATCGAGGTCGTCACTAATCTCCAACCCCATGGAACACCAGTGAAGGTGGAGAACTGATTAGGAGGGAATCCTTTTTTTAATGAACCTGACTAGGTGCCATGTTACTGCCTAAAACTCGAATTTTTATAGACGCGCACACTGATTGTGAGCAGTCATCCTTCAGCCACGCCTATCTTTGGAATTTCTGGAGTGTTTTTTTTCGCGGAAATTTGGTTTTTTTGAAACTCGAAAAAAAACCAAAAAATTCATCAACATCTCATTCTACATCTCGCTACACCTATCCACCTATCGAATGCAAACTCCGCCCCTCAGTAGTTGAGCTCCACCCACTTTTCTCAAACGTTTTCACGTTTTCGTTTTGTACCTGATTTTTGAAATCTTAGCATTTTCAAATGCGTAGCTGCACTTTTGAATAATTAGACCTTGACTAATAAAAGTTCTCCTGAAAGAGGTGAAAAACATGCCTGAGAGCATACCAAACTGCTTCATTGTAACATGTATAACGATATTGCAAAAAAAGTTGGAAATTTATTGTTCTACGAAGCAACAGTGAATCTTCAATAAACATCACGTCTTTCAGCAGAGTTCAGAATAGGAAAGCTGCGTGCGCCGCCTCGTTTCCCCAGTCGTTCATCTGAACAGAATTCATGATAGCATGCTCTTTAATTGTCCTTTCAGTGTTTCAGTGGCTTAGTCAGCTTTAGATAAGCTATTGAGGTGAAGTTTAGCAGAGCAGAATATCTTTCTCGGGACTCGGATCACTCCCTGTACAAATGTTCTAGCCATCTTCTTGGCTGCAACGGTACCTTATCCCCTCTTTAAGGGAATGCTGAGTCAGAGAAACATCATTGCAGGTGGTGGAAGCAGGGACCGTGTCACTGGAAAAGAGTTCCCCACGCATTCCCTCCCTTGGGATAGTACCTCACCCCGCGATTAACGAATCCTCAACTTACGCTCCGCCCTGGACGGAAAGCTCTGCTGGAGTGTTGCTGGTGTAATGGATAGAAGAGTGCTCGGAATAGAGAAACCCTGTCCTATATTCTGTTCTGCTAACAGGATCAGCTTTTGATGTTCACATGAACACATTCAACATTTACAATAGAGAAAAATGAGGACAACTGCACATCGGACAAAGGTAAAGGAGAAAGGTGGCAGATCCAGGAAACAGGGAGTGCAAATGCTTTCAGATTGGCACATGACTACCACACTGAATACGCTCAGAAAATGTTGATAAACTAGTCTGTCCTAGATTCAGTACCAATCAAGATGTTAACATTCGTTAATTAATGGATTTTTCCATTCGGAAATTTGATTTTTGCAAGCTACAGTCCTGTTCGCTGCGAACGCTGCCTGAGGCTGCGTTCATACTTTGCGGCAGCGTCCACCAGCAACCAGTGACATACACCAGCGTTCTGAGCGTCCGGCAGCGTTAGCTATAGGGAAGTATAAGTACCGATCTAGCGTTGCCAGCGTCTGCCAGCGTCCATTAGATTCCAGCAGCGTCTCAAGGGCTAGGGAAATATAGGTATCAATCTCGCGTCTGTCAGCGTCTACCAGCGTCCACCAGCGACCAGCAGCAGACCGCGTATAGAGAGTATAGGGCAATAGGAAGGTAGCAGACTGCTGGTAAGACCAATCGAGGAGATGGGAGGCGTAGGATACTGGTTAGTAACCTCGTTATCACCTCACCTCTCTACCAAGCAGTCTGCTTTTTGTCGCTTGCGTGGATGCTGTATACGCTACACGGTATTTATCTTCCTTCAGCCTCGAGACCGCTGCTCGATTGCGCGGGTGGATCGCTTGCTGACGTAGATTGATATCTTATGCCTTTACGTTGCTGTGACACTGCCGACTACCGGACGCTCGAACCTTGGTGGACGCTATTGGTCGCTGGTGGCGCTGCCGCAAAGTATGAAGCGGCCTGACAGCTTCTAATACAATTGCTTGAAAACAGACTGGCGCCGAGTTCAACCCAACTCTATGAACCCCAGCTACTCCGACGGACAAACTGTACCCATAAATTCGCTTTTAGCCAAGATTCATATTTGAGATGTTATGGGGATTGTCATCATAAGCAGCTGTACTGTTAGTAGAAGCGACAACGGGAAACAGCTGGTAAGAGTAGTACAGAGATAAAGTTGGGAAATGAGTGGAAAACGATAGTTCCGAAGGGCGGCTTGTGTACTGATAGAAATGACCCTCACCCCTGCAAACGCCTGCTTCGCCGCACTTGCCGCGACTTGGAACTAACGTTACACACCTGTGGGAAAACACCATGCACAGCGGTAAGAAAGAGAAGCAGAGGGAACTTACATGCGTCTACTCAGAACGTACCATCGGACCGAACTTCTTCAAATGGCGAAGGCTCGTCATACATCAGCCATTCAGGGTACTCGTCCATATAATCCCGCTTCGAATTTTGGAAAAGTCTCGCGCCTCCTCTCTTTTCAGGAATGAAAGCTCGGCCTCCTCCACGTTTTGGGAAAGCTCTTGCTCCACCTCTCTTTGGTTCTTGGAAGAAAGCACGAGCTCCGCCTCGTTCTTCAATTGGTAAGAATGCTCGTCCTCCGCCTCGTTTTGGTTCCACAAAAGCTCTTGCACCACCCTTTTTCTCTAATTCGAACGCTGATTGGCTGTCATCATCTTCTTTCGTTGGCACGAATGCTCTTGCTCCTCCTCTCTTGTCATCTGTGAAGAACGCTCGAGCTCCTCCTCGCTCCTCGATCGGCACGAAAGCTCGTCCTCCACCTCGTTTCAACTCTCTAAAGGCCCTTGCTCCGCCTCTAGTGTTTATCACGAAGGGTCTGCCTCCGCCTCGTTTCTCATCTTGGAAGAATGCTCTGGCACCACCCCTCTCCTCAATCGGCACAAAAGCTCGTCCTCCACCTCGCTTTTCCAACGGCACGAAGGCTCGTCCGCCACCTCGTTTTTCTATTGAGTCATCATCGGCACATGAGACTGCAGCAACTGAAACGTAATCAGTGAAACTCTGTACTGATAAAACAAAATAGAAGAAATTGGTTATAAGAACGGTTAAATACATTGGAGCTTTTTTGACGAGTGTCAGGAACTTCGTAGCTCAGTTCGGAATGGATGGATGGAATGCAAGTATCAGGGTTTAATTATTTATTTGTCACACCACCAAGGAGGTCAGAAAATTTGAAACAAATCAAAATCAAATCAAAAGGATAATATATATCATGAAACAGTTCATGCTCAGTTGAGCAGTTGTGTCAGAGGTGTTTTCACATCTACAATGAATCCAGAGGAGCAGTCAG